AGCCGGGCTGGCAGCAGGGGGCACAGCAGGAGGAGGTGGGCACGCAGCAGGCGGGCCTGCACACGGGCCTGCACAGCAGGGACACGCTGGAGGATGGCGGGCAGGGCGGGCAGGGGCGGCAGCAGGGCTGGCAGCTGGACGGCTGGCAGCAGCAGGAGGAAGCCCCGCAGCACACGGGCTCACAGCACACAGGTCTGCAGCACACGGGTGTGCAGCACACAGGCTCACAGCACACGGGTCTGCAGCACATGGGTGTGCAGCACAACGGTCTGCAGCACACGGGCTCACAGCACATAGTCTTACAGCAGACGGGCTTGCAGCAGACAGGCACGCAGCAGGACGGCTGGCAGCTAGACGGCTGGCAGCAGGAGGGTGTGCAGCAGCTGGCGCAGACGGACTGGCAGCAGGGGCTGGACGCACAGCCCGCTGGGGAGCAGAGGAAGGTGAGGCAGGGGGCGGGGGCGCAGCCGCGGGGCTGGCAGCAGCTGGGGGCGCCGCAGGGCTCGCAGCAGCTCTCTGGGCAGTCGTCCACCTGCCAGGAGGCGTGGGTGCAGGCATCGGAGCAGACGGACATGGTGGAGGCGGCCATGGCGGCGGGGCTGGGAGGAGCGGGAGGTGTGAGTGAGTGTGAGTGTGTGAGGGAGTGTGTGAGGGAAGCACTCAGAGGTCAGCATTTATAAACCACTGAGCTGTTGTGTTGTCCCCGCTGGGGCTCCGTGAGTCCTTCCTCTTCCTGGTTGTGTGTCCGGGCTGTTGTTTGTGTTTGTGGTTCTCTGCAGCTCTGTGGCATCTGCTGGTTTGTGGCTGAGGTGTACCACGCACCTGGCAGTCTGAGCAGTGGGCCAGCTCTGCCTGCCCCAGGGGGAAGCGGGGCTGGGGTGGAGCGGGGCCAGGGTGGAACGCGCCCATGGAGGAGGGAGCAGGGCCGGGGGGAAAGCGGGCCTGGGGGAAAGCGGGCCTGGGGGAAAGCGGGGCCAGGGCTGTCTCGCTGCCAGCCGTCCTGAGTGACCCGCCGCAGGTCTGGTTGTAGAGTGCCTGTCATCTGTCTCTTTGGTCACTGTGCCCGGTGTCTGATGTCCTCAGGACCCTGGTGATGCTTGGAGTTCACTGGCCGCTGTGCACAGAGCTGGGACCCCCCCTGTAGTGATCCACACAGTTAGGCCACAGATGGTAAATGGGACTTTAAAGAGCTGCTGAAGACAGGCTGGCTGGCTAACCCACATCCAGGAAAATGGCCAACCAGCTTGACATTACCGAAAACCCACTGATAGACCCGGCATGGTACGAATGCCCAGAGTCAAAAACAAGGGGGAGTGTGGGCCGGACACTGATGGGGGAGGGGGAAGGTGACGGGGGGGGTGACAATGACAAGGGGCCTGCTGTCTGACACCGGGAGCTGGAGGGCAGTTGTAGGAAATGGCCACATTCTTGTGGAAACAATTGTCCTCCAACATCGCACACCAGCCACCCCATCGTTCAGAGATGAACAGGAATCCTAGATCAGTAAAAACCGAAGGCATGTGTCCCAGCAGACTTGTCTTACACACCCGGAGGGATTTCCAGACCAGGACTACGGGGCCTCCACGGTGTCCAGACCCACAGCAAGACAAGGACCAGCCGGTGGCCTGACTGCAAAGGAGAAAGCGCACATTCCCCTAACTTATTAAAAAGCCACCGAATGTGAGTCTGCATGATGCCCAGAGGGGCCCGTAGCCGGGAAATAAACAACACAAGGCCTGCAGCAAAGTCACCAGAGACAGGGGAGGACCAGGAGGAAGGGAGAAGTCAGCGTGTGAAGCAGCTGCTGTAAGGGGGGTGCTTGCTGTGCTGCTTCTCTAAGTCCCCTGAAGAGTCACAGGTCTGGAGCAGCAATGACTATGACACTGTGTTCTTTGGTTTGAGCGCTTGCATACGCAGTGTGCATAACACAAGACCACTTTCAGGGAGAGGAACATGAGCGTGGGACAGCAGTTGTATGTCTCCCTGAAGAAGTCTGGAGTTGATTCTGATGGAGCAACACCCAGGAAAAACTGAACCAACCAACCAACCAATGACAACAAAAATGAGAGTAAAACCCAGGCACTTACTGGTAATCTTAGCCCTCAAGAGGCTGAGACCTGGAAGATCACAGTTTGAAGCCATACTAGGCAGAAAAGTCCAAGAGAGTCCATCTTCAGTTCACTAGCAAAGCGCCAGACTGGAGGCATGACTCAGGTAGTGTAGCCCCAGCTGAGTGGGAGCAAAGTGACCTGATATCAGACCCAGTGTTGGTGCATGCGCGTGCACACATGCATGCATGCAGGCACACGGGTGCACACCCACACACACCAAGGAAAAACATGAAAGAAACCAAAATACTTCCGATCACATGAGATGGTATCAGTGCAAAAGGCAGCAGTGCGGGACAGAGGACTGGCGACCAAAAGCACCAAAGGGAAAGCGCGGTCAGCGCGCTGAGTCAGAGGCGGAGAGGATCACGGCAGGTGGCATGACCTCACACACAGAGCTAGCCAGCACTGAACATGGCTCCGAGGGAGCGGCCAGGCTCCCCGAGCCGGCTCAATTCCTCCCCCATCAACACATGGCACTGCATTGTGCTGAGGACACACAGCCACACTCACGCCTGAACATTAAAGACATGGCAACACACAGCTCAGCCTCTCGCATGTGGAGCGCCAGACCACACCTTGCTACCCACTGCCAGGCCAGTTACATAGCAAAGGCTTCCGAAAGGCACAAGGATATGGGAAACCAGGAGCGGAGGAGACCAGGAGAAGATACGCATTTGCAACCTGAGAGCTGAAACAAAAAGGCACCATGTCCCCTGAGAGACCTTGGGGAGGGGATTCTGGGGACCCCAGAGTTTCCCCTCCCCAGGCCCTTGTCCCCCTAAGTAGTTATCCATTTTAGCAAATGAGTGAACATGAACATCAAAAAGCCACAGCCAAATAATGGCATTAAGCAGGCATTAAGTAATGAAATTTAAAAAAATGGAGATTATCAGGCCAGATCCTAGTAACGAGATCCAACTTGATGCTCTCTGTGGTGGGAACACTACTTAGATACAAACATGCAGAGATTCCAAGCAAAAGAGTAAGTAGGGGTGAGGGTGTGGCTCAAGTAGTACAGCACCTGTCCCATGTGTGTTCAATCCTAGTTCTGCCAAAAAAGGAAAGATAGGTGATCTGTGCTACTCTCTACCTACCTACCTATCTGATTGATTGGTTATCTATCATCAGTCTAACCATCAATCATCTCTCTTGTATCTGTCTGCCAACTTTTCTACCTACCAATTTGTCTATAATCTTTTTTTTGGGGGGGGGTCCAGTCATGGGGCCTGAACTCTGGGCCTGGGTGCTGTCCCTCAGCTTTTCAGCTCAAGGCTAGCGCTCTACCACTTGAGCCACAGTGCCACTTCTGGCTTTTT